ATTAAACTTGGACATATTTCCACATTTTGTTTTGTTAGCAACTACTATACATTTGTTATAATTAAAAAATACTTATTAATACTTTTTCATTCCATACTTGGTCAGTGGTAAGTTTGTGAACACTCAACAGTAAAATCTAAGGTTCAGTTCCCCATAGTGGACAGAACTTTAATAACTGTTAGGGTGTAAGTAAATTTTAATGTATACTTCACTAGTACTATTAGGTTTTAAACTTGTTCTGATTAAAACTAACATACACAAGTTTTCCAAATAGAGCTTCAATGAATGAATGAAGGATTTCATTTTTTAACTTACCTTTTTTTTTTTCCAGGCCACCTTATGTATAAGTTTCATATATCTGCAAAAGACTGGCATAGAATTCAGCAGAATCTTGATTCCAAGTGCCGAACAGCTTTCCGAAGGAAACAGAGGGGAATGCCGTTAACTGTGAAAGCTTTTCGGAACAGGTGAAAAATTGTGTCTCTTCAAAGCAATGGAGATTCATTTTTATGTTATTGATATCAAAAACAGTAACAAAGTACCTAAAAATAACTTTTCAGTTTTGTGGAAATCATATCTTTCCAACTGACTGGAAAATTGTTGGGAAGATATTTACAAGCTAGTTGACTAGAACTTGCAGCAAAACACATACATCACTATTTTCTAGGATGGCTGAGGAGTTACTTCTGTTATTGGTAGAACATCTTTTCTTAGCAATAATTTAAAAATGCCTCGTATATTAGTAAGTTACAACATAACATGGTGCCAGAAAGCTACATGTGCTTTGTATAGTATGAACAACACCTTAGACATAACCTGGTACCAGAAAGCTACAAATGCTTTGTACAGAAGTCACAACAAAAAACAAGACATAACCTGGTGCTGAAAATTGAACTGTCAAAAAATGTAAATAGTATAATTTTTCCAGCTTATAAACATTGACTAAAGCTCTATAATCTTTTTCTAGAGTATTTTGATGAATATAAAGTGTAGTTTAGTTGCTACATAATGATACAGTGATTAAAGTTTTAACAAATTTGTTAAGGATCTTATGTCATATGTTGATGCTCATATTACTTAGCTTTAAAATGAGCTTTTAATACATTATTGTAAAACTTCACTATGAATAAAACATAAACCATGTATAATTTTTACCACAATTTCAATTTATTGAGCGCATATTAAAATAAAAGTTAAAATGTAAATAAAATTTAAATCCAGGATTTAAAAACTTGCATCTTTCAAACAACCCAACTACTCAGGAATTAAAATAGTGTAAACATTTTTAAGTAATGTAAATTAGTTTTTAGTTCCATTCTGAATTAAATAAAAGCTAAACACTAAACATTTTTAGCTATGATCCTAGTAGTAGTGTTTGCAACAAACAGAGATGGCTTGATTATGTTTTTATATTTTTGCGGGCCATTGGCTTTTTTCATCTTATTTAATTTTTACCTGAATTTTAGGCATTGTTTAGGTTTAGCGTGTGTTCTTTATAAGTTTTATAGAGTTTTACTTCTCTTTGCCTTTTTAGTGGTTGTTTGGTGCAAGTAAGTTAGCTGCTTTGTGTCACTAAACTCCAAACAACCAACTAACAAGAGATGTTTAGGGTTACGGTCAAAAATAAGAATGAACCATTGTAGTTATAAACAGCAGTTATACGTGAACCTTTAGTTACAATTAAAAATACAAATATGTTGAGAAGAAAGGTTTGATATCAACTGTTGTGTGTGTGTATGTATGTAACTAGGGTTACATACAAGGTTTGATATAGACTGTTGTGTGTGTATGTATGTAACTAGGGTTCCACAAACATATGTTCATGTGGCATCATCTAGTAGTGAACTGATTGGACCAGAATCACCTTCAGGAGTTCAGCATGACCTTGAATTTGAGCCTAAAATTAAAACAGAAAATCATATCTTTTTGGAGAAAAGCATTCCAGTAGGACAAACTATACCTGTTTCTATTCAACAAGCAGATGAGATTGGAGTCACTGTACCTATTCAATGTACATCGCAAGTAAGAAGTTTTAAAGCCTCTATATCTTAACTCTAAACAGTGTTTCAGTACAGGGCAGAATTTTATTTTATTTTATACATTTACCATTAACTACTTTATGGACTACACCAACCTCCCAAACAGTCATCCTTTACTGTTATGTAACACTTCCGCTATTTTTCTCACAGTTGCAAAAGCTAATTAGCCCATTCAATTTGTTGGGTGTTTTTACTGTTGTTTGAACACAAAGAATGTTTCTTGAGTGAAAATGCCCCAACTTAGGTCACCCATTATGATTTATGATACTTAGACTATTTTTAATTTCTGACATAGGATATAAACAAAAATTTAGGAGTCACCTATCAGCCCAAATTTGTCAGAATGGGGTTCAATGGGCACCATTTTTGTATCTTCTCTTCTGAGCTACTAGCTTCTTTTCAATTACTATATTTTTCAGATTTTTTTAAAATCATAATCTGATTTGTGAAAAAGATACATGTAATTGGAATCATCAGAAAATGGGATTCCACACATTAAAGTTAGTTCTGTGTTAGTATTTCTATTGGTAAGTCAGCTACATCTATGTAATATGTGAATATGTTAAAAATGACTTAGTTAAAATTCTGTACAAAGTATACAAACATGAAAGTTTGATGCAATAGTACTCTTCTGTTATGTTAATGTAGATAGTATTCTTTGTTGGACGTTTTTATTATCCTGTTATTATTTCAAATCCATACAAACTTTTATTCAATGTGTGTATGATCCAACTGACCAAATGAATTAAGAAATTGTTACTTGAGGATTTAAAAGTAATTCTATGAAAGTTAGCCAAAGAGTTAAACAGTTTCAAGTCTATTATTTAATTTCTGTAGTGCATATTGGTGTATAGAAGACATCTTAATACTAGAAATATATGACCTTATAACACCAGAATGTAGTTTTTTTATTTAATAAAACACTCCACATTCTGCTTTACAGTTTTTTCAGGAGTGTTCACTGAAACACAGACCAAAATTGACAGTACAAAGAGAAACATTGAGTGTCAAATTAAATAAAAAAAACAACTACATTTTGGTGTTATAAAGTCGTTTATTTCTAGTCATAAATCTAGGAAGAAGAATGTAATATTTTGATATATATATATAAAGCAGTTAGTAAGTAAAGCTGTTTGGGATATTCTTTTATTTGAATGGGTAAAAAGTCCTAACAGTTGTACAATTGAATGTTTTATTAGATGATCAGCACAGAGCATGGAGATGTACAAGTTATCCATGCTACTCCAGAGCAGTTGGCTCAGATTCAGCAGAACCACCAGATTCACATTCTTAGTGGAGCAGAGATGCTCAGAGAGATGGAAAGTGAAGATGCTCCAGAATCAATTAGTATTGCAAAACCATCGTAACACAGTTTATACACCTGTAGGCCTTAATTGTTTCCATGAGAAGATGTTTTCTAATATTGTTCCTTTCACCTGAAATAGGAAGTTCATGGAAATGTTTTTATGCAAATTTATGTAAATAAAAAGTCTGATCTATGCAGCCTTGAATTTGTTTTTTGGTGGTCTTACAGCTATCTGTATTTGTTCTTATTATTTATTAGCAGTATTTCATTTCAGCTCTAACGTGGTCGTTTTAAAAGCTAGTTTTTTTTAAGCATGAGCTCACTTCATGTTGAACACATGGAATGAAACTTTAATTAAGCCTTGGATGTTTTATTAATGAAAACAAATTAGTTAAAAGTTATCCACACTTTTATTCAGCATAATCCTTGATGATGTAATTCATGACTCAAAGGAAGAGTGATGTTTTTCAGCAAAAGTACTAAATCTCCAATTTAAAAAATGTATAAATTTTTGGGTACTCTGTCATTAACCTTTTTAACTTTTTTTTTCCCTGCCACATTTGTAGATAAACTACTCCCCTAGTGCTAGGTTTATTTTTAGATACATAAAGAAACATTTGTGGTGTTGCACAGTTAGTTTTATCTCGCTTTTTTTTGCCATGTCAACATGAATTTGTTTTGTTGATAGTGAAGGGAAATATTTCGCATAGAGAGGATTATATTATGAGAGTGTGAGAAAGTGCCAAGTTAAATCATTATTTACGTATTTACTTCCAAAGTTCGCAGGTTAATGTGCAAAATTTATGATTTTTAGTTAATTATAAAATTATTTATTTTAATGTTTACGTATTTCTCAGAACATTTGCATTGTTTCAAAATTTTCAAAGCTAAAACAAAAGTTACTTGTATGGCAGTGCTATAATGCGCGAGGGGAGGGGAGCTTGTATGTGCTCACGGGAGTGAAAGAATTTAAGCAGTGTCAGATCTGTGTAATTCACTAAAGGGCTTTAAGACAGTCTTCTATTGTATTAAAATTTTAGCTGTTGTGTCTGAAGTTAATTTCAAAGCAACAAAAAAAAAAAACGCGTAGTTTCTGTTACTACAAGGCTGACGTAACATTGTACCCATATTTCGCTAGTCTGTAAATACTTGAAGTCTTGGTTGTATAATATCTAGGGTACTTAAAACAAGTATAGAATTTTTGCCGTAATGTTATTGTGCATTATATACAACTGAAGTGATGCATAAAATATGGAGTAGAGTTTATCAGAGCGGTTTTATACATCACCTCAGAAGTACTATACTACCGCTCTGATAAACTCTACTCCATATTTTAAAGTGATATATAAAATATGGAGTAGAGTTTATCAGAGCGGTAGTACTCCTGAGAGAGATTTCAAAGTTTGAAGTTAATGACAGAGAATGTGTTCAAAGAGGCAAGCAAGTTTACATAGTGACGTTAAATGTACAAAATTAAATTAAGGCTGAGAACTAAGATATAACGTTAGATTAAGGGAGAACTCGGTAGCAATTACTTCAAACTAAGGCGAGTTAGAAACTGTAGTTAAACTCTGGCTTATGAAGAGCAAATGACATGTGAAATTAAGGTGAAGATGTACCTAACTGTAGTAATACGTAGGCAAATTAAGGTTATTGTATACTAATTTCAGCTAAAGGTATATCTAAAGTTATTTGTGGCTATAACTGTTCAGGCAAGATGGTAGCCTGGTATAATGCGTGAGATTTAGATTATCCCGGGAATAAGGACAAGAGACGGCACTTTTTTTTAAAAGGTCTGACTCCTCTAAGAGCCTTTCGTGGGTTTTGCTTACACCATAAAGAAAACGTCTGCTTGTGAATTCAGTGAGAATACTGACCAACGTTTCTCAACTGGCATTGTGTTTGTACTGATAGCGTGTACAAAGAGAGTTGTTGATTTATTGAAATGTTTCTGAATCATCTGTTCGCTAAATGTGCTTCAGACAGATAAGACGTGTGTATGTACGATATGGCGTTATCGATTTCGAAGCACGTGTGTTTACCATGTAAGTGTTGTATTTGTAATTTATCAAGGAAGAGGCTGTTTTATAAATCTCTTGAAGCAGTTTCATCAAGTATTACCAAAGCCTTATACATCATAAGAAGAACCAGCAAAATACACGGTGAAAGAATAGATTGAATGGTCGTTAGGTTTAAACGTTTCTCTTAATTTAAAGTTACTGAAGCATCACATGGAAACCACGGTGATTAATCTATTTCATTAAAATTGTTACTACAGGCATTCACATTTCAATAGGTATAACTATCGTAAGCTAACTGCCGGGTAAAATGATAGTTAATTGTTATGTGAAAGGTGTCAGTTTCAGATCGTTTTTTCGAAGGTCAGTGATTGTCAAAACCACTGACAAATGAATGGTCTTGTTAGGTAACAAAATCAGTGTATAAGCATACAGACTGTTTTCCATTTGTACACTTAAAACAAGCATTACGCAAAGGTAATTTTTAGACGCATGTTACTAGCTGTTTTATACCGAATTTTTGCATTATTTCCATCGATAGCTCTGAAAATGTCAGTGGCGTGTAGTAATTATTTTAACACATTTTCAGACAGAGAAATTTGACATGTTTGGTGACTTTTTGCACGAGTTTTATTTTGGGAAAAAACAACTGAGAACACCTGTCCATGGGTATATATTCTAAATGTGTGTATAGACGAATAGTGAATATCGTCTAGATTCTAGAATAATCGACGCGACAAAACACAGATGCTATGGTTCTCGTTCGCCATTTTTACAGAAGCAAATTGACGTGATAAACCGAAGTTTATTAATAGATGAAATAAATAAATAAAAAACGAATTTCTGTCAGCTATTACGTCATCTCAGACATGAGTTTGTTACGGGATTACGTTACTGATGATGGGTGTTTAAAGTACTTGCCCTTGACATTAGTGTATATTTCCGTAAATCATGTTTTCTGGTGGAAAGCCGTAGTTGTTTTCATCATGAAATATTTTTTGCTTAATATTTAAAGAAAACAGTTGAAAGGTTTTAAACATTAACAGCTATATTTAGTTTTATTAAAAGTGAAAAATCGTAATATCTTACGAGTTTAAAGGCATTAACTTTATATTTAGAAAAATAAAAGTCCGTTAGATTGTTTCAAAAAAAATTATTATTTTTTGTAATAGTAATACTCGTATTATTATAACCGAGAAAATCCTAGTCTAATGATAACGCCATTAAATTATTATAAAATGGACAATTTTATTATTTACCATATCATGAAATATCAAAACTGTCACTGTAATACAAAAGCTATAACTTAGTATGTCGGTAGAATGCAAAATACAAAGTAATACCAAAATGCAAATCATGAAATCTTAAAATCTAATATATTAGTCAGGATCTGCATAAAATTTGAAGTCTGCTGCTGGAACAGATCTCCAAAGCTACCAACGATGGTAAACTTATTGAAGTAGGTGATACAATCTGGAAGATTAAAGCTAATTAACAAATATCGTGACAGGCTGTTTGAATTTTTCTAGCTGAAATTAGGTATCCTTCCATTAATATGTTACGTTTTATTTTGCTACTTCCTCTAATTGTTTGAAAATATATTTGTTTCGGTATTGAAACTTAATAAAAAAATTAGGCCAAAAATACAATTATTTTACCAATTTCTCTATTTCTTATAAATTTAACTTTAGGCTAGACAGTTTTATGATTCATTACATAGGGGAAATGTTTAAAAATTTTACGAAATCTCTTATTCCATTTAAGTGCTTAATTTTAATAATCACTTAAAAATCTGAAGCTTCAATCATTATCATGTGACAAAAATAATTCACGTTTTATCAACATCATCATTATGGAGGCAGTGGTGTAAAACGACTAAGCTGGCGAAACGATAATCCTTTTTAGGCCTAACTGAATGACCAAAATAGAGTTGATTGCTTTATACACGTATATTTCACTTTCCCTGAATTACTCCCTAATGAATTTCTAATCAGACGTGTGTAAAAATAGCATTTCAAACGTATCTTTTGTTTGTCACAAATCACTGACCATTATTTCATGACAGATTTCATTCGATATCACTAACATTGTGTGAGAGCAGAATGATCACCAATTCATCGATTACGCAGGTGTTAAGGCTTTCAATGCCATACATATTTTTGAAATGAATGTAAATTTGACATTTATTTTGTTTTAGTTGAATGTCCAATTTGAAAATACCATAATTCCATTTGGCATACAAAGCATGTTTGAGAACAATCAAAATGAAAACAAAAATAATGCTTAAGTAAACATGTTGGTCAAGAGTGTTAACCACTTTTATTAAGGATTTTATAAGCAAATGATAACACTTCTGAACAAATATAACTACTTATTAAATTAATTCACTTAAAGACAATAACGGGCAACAAGAAAGCTTGTTTTTAGTCAATCTTTTTCTTTGCACATAACATCATTGGTTAAAAAAAGTAAACCATACACATTTAGCTCATCAAATGAACACATAACCCAAAATTTCCACATATTCTAAACCAGTATTACAAATACTTCTTATATCTTGATCTTTTGTCTTTTAAATTACAAATGGTAGAGCACAGGTGATATTGCCTTTAATTTTTTAATATGGTTTTTATCTGAACAGTACAATATAACATTTTTGTTACTCTAACCTGTAGTGTTTCTTTGTTACAACATACAACTCAGTTTTTTTTCCTTTTACCATAACTAGAAGCCTCCACATCAGTTAAATTAAGATCCTGACCTTTATAATTAATATGGTGTCCAAGGCATTCAGGTAGCTTAATAATTATATTCAGAGAAAAATAGACATTTTACATGAAACTCTTCAGTGATGTTTTGTGTTGCAAAGAGTTAGTGAGTTTACACTTTTTTTTTATCACTAATATTGTAGAAACTATCAATGTGTTAATTAAACAATTTAGTTACAGTGTCATATAACCATCAGGATGTTAAGTAATATAACACATTGGTCACAGAGATTAAAGTAAATTGAGTGTATTAGTAAAATAATCAGTAATTTTAAGTGATATAGCTGAATGGTAACAGGAAAGTGATATAATTATCATCGGATGTGCCTTGTAATTATATAATTAGATAACTACAAATGTATTGTGTAGTTAAATTTACTGACAATGTATACAACATTCATGGCAAGTTAGAGAAACATAATGTAGTCATTTATGAGGTTAAATGATATGTTCTTGATCCATCCAAGCATGGTTTAGATGTTACATGAAGAAAACTAGTTAGTTAAAGAAGGTAATTGTTAATTAACTAACAGAACAACTGATGTGTGTCTGCTTATTTACAAAAGTACAATGTTGCTAATAGATAATTAGTTAACAAGTCAAATGACGTAGCACCTTCAGTCCTGAGTTAACAATATCAGAAACAGTTTCATTGTGTTTAAAAGGTTGAATGTTCACACCTTGTCTATGATATATCTTTATAAAACTCACTGGAGGTCTTTAAACAGTGTATTCCATGTGTAATACCACACATACAAGGGCATTAGTAGTTGTATCTACTAATATGTCAAAGAAAAGTGTTTCTTTTACAGAAGCTGGACAGCCACAAAACAACATTTATTTAAATAACTCTATATACACACACATCAGTATATAATATATGCAAGTATTTCGGCTACGATAAGGGTAACAAGTGGTAAACTCTTAACAATTCCTCATTTAAAATAAAACAAGCAATATATAGCCTTTCAACAATTTCTCCATGTTTCTGTTGCCACAGGTGACCAATCAAAATGATCATTTCTTCTTTCTATTTTAATATAACTTGCTAGTTACACCTTTACTACAAACTGAAAACATCACAATTCTTTAGCACTTCCAGTTCACATCTTATACACACAATTTTCCTTTAGTGTAATGGTTCAGGATGTGTGTATGTCTTCTACACAAGTTAATAATTTTTTTTTAAACATAGTACCTGTTGCCAAGATCTAATTCAGCAAGTCAAAAAAGAAACAGTCACCAGTAAAAAAAAATTTTTTGACCAAAACTTCTTGAAAGTTTGAAGAAAAATCTAGTTTTTTTCTTTCTCAGCCTCTACCTCTTACAAATCAGACTGGGTTAAAGGCCACACTGTTTAGCTTCAGACCTAATATCTGGGGCAGACCAACGACGCTTCCGTTGTGGTTGAAGAGTTGTAGAAGTGGTAGCCACTAGGGGGCTATGCCTTGAAAATGTAACTGTAGTTGTAGCACAGGGTGGTTCCTTACATGATACTGAAGAAATTCTACAGTTAAAGGATGAAAGAAGATCCTCCTTAACAGAGACACTTGCAGATGTTTCTACGGAATTGCAAGCAAGTGAATTTGGCACAGTACAAGTAGCACTGGTTGCTGGAGAGGAGAGCTCATTAGAGGATAATAATAAGTCTGGGGTAGACTTCTGTGTTAGAGAAATACAGACATCACCAATTTTCAGTTGCTGACAGACAAGCCCATACCTGTGAAGAGACTGTTCTGGGAAACAAGATGACCAACCCTGTTGAAAAACAAAGAAAGGGTGCTCCATTGGGGCCTCTACACTTACCTGTGACAAAAAACAGAAGATTTATTTATAAAACAAAAACTATCTAGCACTTAATTTTAAATAAAGTTGTTTACTCTTTTTTTCATTTCCATGAGTTATATCTAACAGTAAGGGTACCCAAATGATGAAACAATGTATTATAATCTTTGTAAGTAAGAAAAGTAAATATAATTTGCTAAACTCATTATCAGGCTGGTTTTTAGTCTCTAAGTAGGTAGCTTGCTCTAATTGGGAGTCAGAAGTTATTTAGTATTTTCAACCCAAATAATACCATTAGATATAACAACAACATGAATACTTTTAAGTTGTTTGGCCAGAGATAGTTATAATTAGGTAATACCATGTTTTATAGCTCTAAGAGGTTTAATGAACAAAAAAAATGTTGAATACAAGAAAATAAACAAAATTCAAAATTTTACTTGCAAGAATAAATATGAATTAAAAAAGGAGAGAGAGCGACAGAGCCATAACTAGGCAACTTAGTGTCCAAGGCAGGCAATCAAGTTTCCACCCTGGCTTAATTACAACTCTGGTTTAAGCTGATAAATCAGCAGTTATGTTCAGGAATATTGGAAAATGTTAAACTACAAATACGTAAGGTAAAAAAGCCAAACATTTGGAACCCAATTGAAATCCTTCTGGTTGATATATGCTCTGTGGTAACTAAACTTCTCTAAAACCTAAGTAAGAACAATGGTAGATTTTATTGATCTATTTTTTTTTCTCTTACAAAAGATCATTTGAAGCTGATTGGAATAATCCCTTTTTTTATGACGGACATTCAGATTAGTTTATACAAGTCAATATAGCATATTTCATAACCAAATGAGTTTGAAGCAGCACAAGTCATATGCTGTCTAATCAAAACATGTATATTTGTAAGTGGAAGAGATGTGGAAGATTTCTTATTACTAGTTTTAATAATGCATCTGAAATAAACTGTCAAAGAGGATCATGTTAGATGTAATACACATACTGTGTAATGCCTGGTTAAGAAGGCCATGAGTATTTTTTCCTGTGTTGTTGGTGGTTAAATATATATTACTGTGTAATGACTGAATTAATAGCACTTTTAACTACATGATTCCTTACTTGTGCATAATATCAAGTAAAAAAGATGTTCAACTTACCTGTACCTGGCTGTTTCCTACACAAAACCCTAATATGACTGAACCTGAGCTAACCACTTCTTCAATCTTGACCACAGTGCTACTATCTATACGAAGGTCTGCACTACGACTTGCACTTTCTATGAAATCTTCGGTTGTCAATTTTTCCACTTGCTTTAACTGTCCATCTGCAAGTTGTATGATAGCTCCTTTTCTAAAATAAACAGGATAGTGAAGTCTTGAAGTAGATGAGTTTGCTTGTTGAAGCGTGGGATCACAGGAAGGGCTAGAAACATTAGAAGTTACATTAGGTTTTGGCGGGACTAACTGATGAGCTGCATGTGGTGACAAAGATGATAAACTACTACGAGGCACAGGTGTTCCCAAACGAGGCTGTTTTGGTGATGGGAGTTCATCTCGTGGTCCGTGGGTTGGAGGAGCAGACAGAGGTGCACCATGCAGTGCTGATGCTGGTGGTTCAATTATATTTATATTTGGAGGCCTTAGGATGCGATGTTTTAGACTGCCTTCTTTACCTGTAGGGACCTTGTAACTGGTTCCTAGAGGTAAACCTCTTGTTGGATCATGATCAAATGGCATTTGTTTAGTGCCAAACTCAGTTAAAGGACACCCAGGTAATTGGGACTGAACCTCCTGACCTGAATTTATCTTTAAAGGAATATGTTCATCTTCCCTTCTCAAAACAGGAGAGCTTTGAGATGACAACCTATCTCTGAAATGCTTCATTTCAGGAGAATGGCTTGGTTCTGTAAGATAATGAGATCTTGCTTGTACTATAGACCCATGCTGCTCAGGAGGGCTTGCTGTTGGCACATAATTATGTCGAGCTTGTGTTAAATGACTAGGTACAGAAACTGAGTGACTAAGAGCAAGAGTTGCATGAGACTGTACAACAGGATGTTCTGGCCTGCTTGGAACATGGCTACCACTTATTGGAAGAACCACAGGGTATGATTCTGATGAAAAGAAATGTTGAGAAACTAGACTAGGAGCACTGTTGGGGTACGTAGGATAGAGATTGCCAAAAGATGTAAGCTGTGAACCTTGATTATACATGCTGGTCCCAGAAAGTGAGGGTGAATGTAAAGAAGTGTGATGTGCTGGGAATGGGAATTGTGAACTGTATAGTCTTTGACTGTTTAAATCACTTTCAAGTGAAACTGGTGGGCGGAACAGACTACCAGAGCTTGAGTGAATCAATGAAGTTGGCAGACCAGGAGGCTCAGGCAGAAGTACTACAGATGGTTGAGAAGGTGATGATGAATGATTCTGACAACCTGTAGCCACATTTGTCAGCCAGTTTAAATCATCTGTTCCTGGATTAGCACTGCCAGTCATGGCAACCCTGTCTGGTCCATTCATCTGTGGTGTCCACCAACCACATGGAATGGTGCTGTCTGAGTAACTGCGAGCTTTAGATAATCTGTTTGGTTCAAGTGATGAGGATGACTTATTAGTCTCTCTGTTTTTGTTTTGGTTATCACCTGGAGTAATTTCTTCTTTTTTTTCCCTTGACACTATTATTAAACTCCCATCTTTCTCTTCTTGACATGTGGGCCTGTCATTACAGTAACCAGATCTTATACCAGGTGAAGTTGAGATAATCTTATCATCAGCAGGTGCTAATGAATGTGTTGGTTCTGATACCAGTACTGGACGGGAAGCAACTTGAGAATACAGAGCTAATGATGGAAGAAAGTAGGGCCTGACTGGGAAATATGCATCTCGCAGTAGATCAGCAGGTCCCTGAGAAATAGGTCTGCACAATCTGGTTGGATAAATAGGTTGACTTGGTGAGAACACACAATTTAGACTGTTTGAAGGACCTAACAAAAAAAAAAAAAAAAAGTTTATTTTGTGTTTACTACCACAGGAAATAATTTTTTTTAACCAATTTTTTTTCTATATTCTAAGGTTAATTACACTTTACAAGAACTGTATTCCAGGTCACATTTTGCCCTTGGAACTACTTTACTTGAAACATGCTCAATATAATATAAAATGTCTCTGTATAGGACAGTGAGGTCAATCTTAGACCATATGTCTTAACCAAGTCTCTACAGACTCCCCACTATATAAATATGTTGGATTCCAAGAACATCTTAAAGCAAACCACAGAACTCTATTTTAGTTGGACCAGAGGACTTGTGATACATATAATTGAATGAGATAATTGTTATTAATGTTTTTTGTCCATATTTCTCTTGAAAATAGCCATTGATTTAAAAGTGTGACCGGAATCTTATTGGCATTTATAAACTTCAATTCCTTGTTTATCTTATTAATGGAATTGGAAAATATGCCCACATCCATTGCAACGACTTTTTTGTGGAAATGGCCTTCATATCATGAAAGAAGATATCACTCTGGATTGGGTTGTGGTGTAGTATTTGACCCCACTGCTACCTTAAATGCTCTTCTGGGAGAGTTTTTCTTCAAAGTGTGTCTCTTGACTCATATTTATTTGACAATCTTTTTGTAAGAATTTCTCTTTATAAAAGCTTTTTAAATCTTTCCAGTCATAAAGAGCTATACATGGTGGCACTGAAATGTAAATGGATAAAAATTTGCCATGGATCAAATATATCAGTGCTTAATGTGTCACTCATGACTTGCATCTTTTGCAACACAATACTGCAACAACATTTACAAATCATTCAGGTACAGTGCAATTAACCCTCTATAATAAATATCCAATGGTATATCAAAAACAATAGCTTAAGCTCTTTAGAAAAAAACATAAGCCATTATCACATGAAAGTTTTGTGTGTGTGTTAAATTCTTTCTTTTATTAACAATATCACGGATGTAATTCAAGTAAATGAAAACATAAATTTGAAGATAGCTTTCATATACGGAAACATCTTTTAGCCGAGTTCTTGTACACCTAACAGATGTTTCTGTATATAAAAGCTATCTTCAAGTTAATTAAAGTTTTAGGTTTTAATGGTTCATATAATTTATATGCAGGTATATTCTAGCTTCCTAGGTAGGATTTTCTTACATTAAGCAGTTTTTGGTACTTACTTAATGAATTCTATACCACAAAATCTACACATGGTGTGTACATGGAGGAGAATGAAAAGTTTTGTTGAATTAATAACAAATTGTAATAATATTCTGTTACACCTTTTCTATTTCCTTTTTTCCCTCATTGTAAACTGAAGGAATATATGGTTTTGGGGGTAATATTTATTGTTAAAATGGTAAACAAATGAAATGATACATAATTAATTAAAGTTCTACATTCATCTTACTTCACCTTTCTATGGTTATCTAATAAACTTTAGTGTAAGTACTTCTCTGTCATTACTTACATATCTTATCTTACTAAAACTTTTAACAGTCTATGGCCTAAAAATAAAATTGTCCCAAGAAGCATTATGTATTTAAACAAAGAGGTTAAACAATATTTGGTTAAAAATAATAAAACACGATTTGTAAGACCACAGGAAAAGAATAAATACATAAACTGATCAAGAAACCACAACTAAAGAGTTGTATGCCAAGTAAGGCTAATTATGCATCTTTATGAAACTAAGGAGACAGATTGCCTGAAGAGCCCCAGCTGTGCATGCATGTGTACATGTGCAGTAAGATAGTTTTGCAATTCATGTTGAGTTATTTGAAAGATGTATGAATGAGTTTGAAAACTGAACCTTTGCCAAATAATGCATCCTCAATGGTTCTAAAAAAAATAGAGGTAACCTTACAATATCAGCCAATAAACAAACAGTACCAAACCTACCCCAATTCCTCTTATAAATAGAATATTTATGAGAAATAACATTTTTCACAGCAGCAAGACCTTGTACAATATTTGTAAGATTTTTTCTCTACCAATATACAAAGAACTAATTACCTATTGAAATATGCAAAATTTCATTAAACTTTTTTTCTTAGGTGTATCCTAATTTGTATTTAATGCAAAAGCCAAATATAAAATATCACAGTATAGAACATTAAAATATTAATTACAAAATGGTGAAACTATCAAGGCAAGAAAAATATCCTAACAAGAATGCTACAAATTAAAGATGAAGTAGCAGTCTTATCAATGTGCTTTACATCTTGCAGGCTAGTTCTTTAGAAATTAGAAAGTCATAATTCATTCATTCTTTAATGTTGGTAAGTAATTAGTGTTTATGAGTAGTAAACTTCTTACCGTAAACCATGTGTTTACTGATGATGTTAATCATAAATGAGGAATATGTCACTGTGTGTGTGTTAAATATCATCATAAAGTATACGCGATTTAGTATGGTTGTGGTAATACTGCTCCAAGTTGTGGATCTAAATGTCAACATTACTACTATCCCTTGCAGGATATGATTTTTTTAACACGTATTAACTGCATTATTATAGCTTGAATATTCTTCTTAATAAACAAACACTTACTATTTTAAACTAAATGTCATTTTGCATATGATAATGTCATAAGATTGTTTGTTATTGCTTACATTATAAAATACTTATTTTTACACATAAGTTTGTTTGTTTGTTTGAAGTTAAGCACAAAGCTACACAATGGCTATCTGTGCTCTGCCCACCACGAGTATCAAAACCCGGTTTTTAGCACTGTAAGTCTGCAGACATACCACTGTGCCACTGGGGAACTTTACAGATAAGATAATATCACAATAGGCAGTAGAACATATTTGAATTTGAGGGTTAGGGGGCACTGTATTTACTATGTTAACTGTGACCATTCAATTCAAACATGAAACAGTAACCATTCCTGATAATTATGCACAAGTCTCCCTTCCTCATTCAAAGGAACACATCACTATCAGCTTGAAATTTAGGAACACGTACCACCAGTTCCCCTCAGTGGAAGGTTATCACAGGCCTACAACTATTACTGTACACTATATATCACTCAGAACGTATGGAGGTGTTATCAGTAGTGTTATTTTGTTTCACCAAAACCTACATGTCATTTTGCCCAAGCATACCTTGGTTTTGTTATAAACAGTTCATAGTAATAAACTTCCTCTTCGCATTATACACTGCAGTTTTGACCAATCTTCTGTAACACTTGGAATGGATTGATCTTTGACTTACAGTGAATAGTGCCTTAGAAATTCAGCTATACTATTCCTGTATATAGGGCCAGTTAGAGAAGGGGGGCATTTGGCCCAGGTCTCAAGCTCAAAGGGGACCTCAAATTTAGACACTTATCTTTTTTTGCATTTGTTATGTTTTTCGTGACTTGTTTTTATGCATATAAAAAAGGCTACAAAAGCATTTATTAAATGTTAATAATTATATATTAAATAAAAAATATGCAAATTATGTTTCACTTTTCTTTTGGGTTAATGGTTGTCTTTTTTTTTTTAATGTGTCATCATGTTTTCTTTTTTATTACAATAGGGGCCTCAAAAGATAGAAGTGGCCTGGTCCTCTGAACATCTGAGAGGACCTGTTCCTATACACTTTCCAAGATTGTTCTAATCTTTGGCTTCAAGATATGACCAGGTGTAGTGATCAGATACAGTATCTGTAAAATCTGTTGTGGATTGAACAGACAAACACTAAAATGATCTCCATTAAGTTGCTTATTAGTAAGACAGTAAAATTTTAAAGTAATGTGTTCTGTTTGCAATTATGACATGCTTTCAACATTATTTATCTGTTTAAAATTCCACACTCAATAATAACTTCCAATCAGAGTAAGCTAAGTACTTCAAGCAAAATTAAAAATCAACCTAGCTATAGGTATAGCTCATTAAGATAGAACTTGCTTCTAATAATTATGTACCTACGCGTCACTTAACTGTGTGCCGGAGGCTTTAGTTTTCAATGACATTCACTAATGAACAGAATTTTTCTTTACGATTTTATGTTAGTAACTCCTCAATTTTGTTTGTTCATTTGTTTGATAAACTCATTAATCCATATATTACGAGAAAGTATGCAATTGTAGTGTTTGCAACTTAAAACTTTTAATTATGTATTGCCAGTTTTTTATTCTCACAGTTAGCTTACAGTATCATGATTGTTAGCCAAAACTTCTCAGCTTTCCTCAACTTGCTCAACCAGTGAATTTTTTTTTTTACATTTTGAAATTATTATTACAACTTTTGGGCAAATACCTAGTAAAAATTTTCTTCACTTATGCTCAGTTTCATTTACAATACTTCTTTCAAGATGAAAAGCAAACATTTTATAATTTACAATTATCTTTTAACATGATGTGCTGTGCTTCAATTTACAAGCATTTGTAGAAAGATCATATATTCATAACATGGCTGGTAAGTCAATCAATCCAGGTAAAAAATCATCCTTGATATTCATAAGCGTCCTCTAGAAATACATACGTTTGAGCAGCAGCTGCAAGAAGGGCTTGAGGACACATTGGAAAATACAGAGTAATCCTGTGAATCTCTCTATAACACACTTTCTTTTATAACTAGCCCAAAAGCAGTAGTCTGTATTCAAAACCCTAGCTTAGTTTCTATATTAACATCTTCAAGTTTCCGGGGGGGGGGGGCTCTCATCATTTGACCTATCCACTAGTTTAGCATGTTCATTCAACTGGAACATTACATCTAAACAGCTACATTAAAATTAGTCACACAAGAAGTGATTGCACCGAAAGTTTCTAAAAACACATCGAAATTTTTACCTCTGACACAGTGAAACAAAAATCACAGAAAACTTACACACACATTATTATTTATTGACATAGTGAAACAAAATCACAGAAAACTTACAGACACACACATTATTATTTATTTATTTTCAAACGCTATTTCCTTCGCACATTCCTGAGTACAACAGACAATGGAGGAGTATCTAAGGTCACGCGCTTACAGTCCCGGGATCTATCTCTGGTCACATTGAACGTTAGTAAATACTTACCACGGCATACTGAAACACGCAAACAAGCCCGCACAACTTTGGCTGGGGACAAGGTCGTCTAGTGAGCTGAGGTCGTTAGCCGGCACGTGTTTGTTGTCTGGGGTAGAGACGTGGCTCCGCGGCTTGTTACGATTCAGAGAACCTCTAATGCCGTTCGGGAAGGAAATAAAACGTAGCGAAAGAAAATGCACTTAATGGGGTAGGCGTTGCTCTGTGTAAGTAAGTGTGTTTTGAATTCTCACTTCCCACCGTTTCGTCAGATCTAAAGCAACTGTGCAAGTTGAGTACAGAGTTGTTTGCTGTAGTTATAATACGCTGTATTTGAATACAATGCCAAGAATCCTATTATATGAAAGCGAAATTATACCTAACATTCGGCTGTTATCCCTGGGAGCCATCCCTGTTTTTGTGCACCAGACCATGTCCGAACAGGCCGGGTCAGCTAACCACACAGAGGACTAAGGAGCACGTGCTTGGGCCTCACCTGTTGTACCAGGAATCTAATCCATACATGGAAAGAGCTACGTTGAGGATCTGGTATGTTTTGTCAGCTCAACCTGTATCAGCTGCTGCTTTCTGGGTAGAATCTTTCTACAGCCACATTTCTTTCTAGGAACAAGTTTTATCGCACTTTTTTACGTAAGATCGTTCAAATACTATTATAAGTGCATGGATAGGTTTTTATAAATTCCTTTGTGTCAATTGTTATCACAGTATTATTAATACATTCATTATGAGTAAATATAATTGCTCTCACGTATACATGTCATCATGGTTGACTTTTTCACTTAAAAACGTGTTATCATTCCTGTAAATAAAACCGGATAGCTACTTATTAGTCCTGCACTTTCTTTTATACCTGCGTTGCTGAGAAGGCGGATAGTGATAGGAAATCACCAAATACTTCACTAAAAAACTGTATTATACAAGTTTAATATCATATACACACTCCCTCCCCTTGACGCACGGAGTCTTTTCTTCCAATTATGGTCATGTTGTTCTCTGACGTTTGTTTTATGTTCAACTGTTAGTGTGAAGTTTAACCGCGTATATTCTTACTCATGCATTTTCATTTATAAAACAATAATAATTACGTCGTGCTTTTGATAAAACGAACTCTCGCTGCTCGTTCGAGCGAAATCGTAGAGGAAGAACAATAAGAATGTTAGTCTCACTCTCGGGCCTGTTACATGCCACGAGCTGGTGCGTTACTTTCCCTGGTGAGAAATGCTACAAACTTGATAAATGCCATGGGAAAAATATCTACTTAAGAACTGAAAAGGCTGGGTGAAGTGGACCTATTTTTGAAAAATGTACAAACGACAAAGTAGTTCAAAAATGTCCCAGTACTAATACCGACAGAATTTCACCTTTGTATATACGCACACGACATTTATGTAATATAACTATTATAGACGGGGATGGGTCTGGATGTATATTGCACATTTTTTGTTTCATCTATTTATTCTAAATTAAAATATATTTTGTCATTTTAAATGATTTCCTGTCCAGATTAGTACTTAGCTATACACGATACGTGACAGGTAGTATGAACCAAAGTTTCAAAATACCGCACAAAAAAAG